TTAATACCCCATCTCCAGCACACAGGGCCACGCCAGCCCCAGCCAGCTCTGCCTGGTAGCCGGCAAAGCCCAGCCCCGGGGTCAGGGAACCTCATCTCCAGTTACTTTACGCGGATTCAGGAAACAGGTCCCCAAAGAAGCAAAGGAGGAAAACTACAGGAAACGCGCACACATTCACCATGAAATACCCACCCGAAGGACAAACTCGGTAATCCCACCAATGATGTTCCAAACCCGTGATGGCTAGCAGCCGACACATACCCGCAGACCTCAATCCATTTTTATTGTATTCAGGCTGCAGTGTTGTATTTCCTGCCTCCCCTTAGCACCACACATACAGTGTACTTGAAAACAAAAATCTATAATATTGATCCCACAATGTCACCACAATTATTCTTTTGAAACAGCCATTGAAAACAAATTACATCTGCACTGCCTTTTCATCCGCCCGCTGTGAGTGAGCAATGCTCACCGTGGCCTCCAGCACCCTGGCGTTAGCACTGTGTCACCGCCGACAGGACAGCCCGGGGAAAAGCAGATGGGGGAGGGGGTGGCGAGGATGGCAACCAGATCAAAGGGTCGCTTTAGGAAGGCACAGGGGTCTGCCTGGCCCGGTGTCAGCATCTGGGAAAGGTCTGGACCCAGCATGGCTGCGAGCTCGGTGAATCTGAGAAATTCTGAGTGTGTAGACAGGTTTGCTGTCGGGGGCTGGGGACTCCTCCCAGCTCAGTACACCAAATGCTGGTGTTGGGCTGATTCAGCTGACAAAGACTTAGCCACAACTTCATTTTCGGATATTCAATTTAAAATCTAATGACAACAAGTATTATCTGAAGCAACGTGGGCTTCACCTGATGGCACGTAATTCTGTTGACTGACTGAAGCATCTATAACAGAGCAGTGGTGTTTTAAAGCAGGAATGCTGCCCACAGTCCCAGCTCTGTACAGCCCAAATTTCAACAGACATCAAGATGACCTTCCCGAAGAAGGTTAGTTGTCCTCTTTCCCAGCCAGTTGCACCCCAGAATCTTCAGAGGTAGCAGACACCCCAAGCTCACTCACCATCCCACCGCAGAGCTGAGGCCTGGTACGTAGGTGGGGTCCCAGCCCCCAGCAAGATCGTGAACCCCCTTATAATCCACCAGTCAGCTGCCCTGGGAACATCAGCTGTTGGGGGCCTGCCTGTTTGTTTTCCATTGTCAGACTTAGAAAAATTCTCCCTGCATGGTAATTAAATTCCATGCCACCGAGCGGTGGGCAAAGGGAAATTCTTTTGTTAAGGTCTGACCACACAAGTCACAGTGGTGGCTCTTGCAGGCGGGAAGTGATAACTTTGGAGCATTAAAAAAACCAATAGCCTTGTTGACATGGACATGGGAACCTAACCCCTGAAGCCTCCTGGTATGACGCATTGATTTTCCTGTCCGTGTACAGTTCTAAAGCCATCCATTCTGCATGGTCAGGACTCAAAGGGCCAGAGAGAGGAAAAAAATCTGTTCTCTCTGCTGTACCTCCAGGCAAAGTTGAAAAATAAATTCTCCGTTTTGAGAGATGATTTGTTCAAGCCATGTTTAAGAGACTATGATTGCATTAAAAGGGGGGGAAAATATTCGGTTTCCCTGACCCTCCAGAACCTGCAGCCACTGACCCTCATGCAAAATCCTGACACCACAGACGTGGCCTAGCAGGGGACAGAGGCAAGGGTGGGGGGTGGAGGACCCCAGGAATTGGGAAGCTTATTTATTATTCTCCAAATGATATCACGGTGCTGCCCGAAAATTGCTCAAATAATCCTGCCCATCCACCTGTCACTCCTCGGATCCCTCTGCCACTGTTATTTTGCAAGAGCCGCTCTTCCTTCTTGTTGGATGGCTCCTTGTGACATTGCTATGCTCCTGCCTGCTCTCAGATCCTCTTTTCCAAAGGAGTGACAGGCCAGGCTGACTCACTCTTCAGGGTTTGCCTGAGAGTCATTCAGGGCATGACACCTTACCCTGTCCCTGACCCACTGTTCCCAACCGCAATGGGAGCATAAGGCTCCCCAGCCAGCCTCCCAGCACCTCCTCCCATGCTCCCGGGTACCTTGGGGTCCTCATTCAAAAATGCCTCCATGCCACCAAAATCCCTCCCCGTCCCTGGCTGTGACAAGGAGAGACCCTGGGTGACAGAGAAAGAGGCCAGGCTTTGGGAAAATGCGCTGAGACACTGCAGGGGATTCCGTGTGCCTCCGGTCTCACGTGTTCAGGACTTTCAGAGTGTTTAGCTGTTTGAGTTCCAAATAAAGAAAAGCGTCGGTGCTGGTCAGAAGGTAGAGCTCACAGAATGGAAGACTAGCGTCTGAGCTGCAAATTTGCAGGGCCGTTCCGCAAAGTATTGCATACATCATTTCCTGGTGCAGAGGAGTATTGAGCTATTTCAGGGAAGCCAAAAAGGAAAGACCAAAATTAGGCAATTTTCCTGACCTAGACAGAACTACGGACAGAATACAAAAATAGAAAATGCTGGAGCGAATGTTCTTACAAGGTTTGTCTGCATAAACATAGATGCCACATATCCCAATCGTATACAATGTGAACCCAATAGCGGCCTGCATGCATGCACACCACTGAAAGTCATAAACCCAGTCACACAAAACCTTCCCACCAGACGATTCCGTCTTGCTAGACCTATAGACGTATTCTTAAATTAGGTTGGTGTGAATGTGTTTGTATATTTATTATTAAAATACTTACTGTTCTGCCTTTTGAAGTCGATGGACAAATGATTTAGGAGCGGAAATAGACTAGAAACAAAATTAATGCAAATAATGTGTTGATTTTTTTTTTTAGCTTGATTAGCCAAGCCAATGGAAAATTCTAGAAAACGTATACAATTATTTTAACTGTCACAGGCTGGCAATTGTAATTGACATGATTTGTACGAGATGCAGTGTAATAACTGAATATATTAAAAAAAAATCTCATGCCTTGATTACCAGGAGAACATTACTAGTGCCACAATATTATTAACAACACAATTATCGTGGCATCCCTAGGATACGCTCTTAGCACTTCAATGCATTAGTGAACCTTTGCTAACGAAGAAAAAATTAAAGTACAGCAAATTTCAAAGCACCAGTTGTACCCAATATCATTAAAAATTTATAAAACTTCCCCTGAACATGACAAGTGTTTGGTTTAAATGAAGATCAGCCACAAGGAGAAAGCAGAAATCTTGTTACTCTTTGTCTCCTTCCCTACCCTATCTCTCTGCCTCTCTCTTTCTCCCAGACCTCCCCCAGCCAGCACCACCTCAATCCAGCTGAAATATGTAACCATTACAGAGTGACAGCTTGACACACAATGACCCGTCAGAACATTCATCTCGCAATGTTTTATTTTAGTGAGGAGCCAAACTGCAGAAAAAATAAGCAAGTTGTTTCAAGGCTTGGAAGGAGATCAAACATTTCTGGCATCCCCACTTACCAGACCTTTGATTTACAATGGACTTGTCAGAGCCCGATTAGACAGTGTGTGCTTAAAACCCAACAGAGGCTCCTCAACCGCCCCAGCCCACCGCCATGTCCCCCACGGAGAGCATCCCTTTGTTCCCGGAACCAGCAAGCCGGGCTGAAGCACAGAACTTTGCACCCTTGCAGAAGGGCCAGGCAGCATGTAAAAGGCAATCCGGCTCCAATTAAATCGCTTTTGCCAAGGTGAAAAGAGAGAAGGAGGGAGAGGGGGAAATGGCGAGAGAGGATGCACGCTGAGCTCCTCCCGCCAGTCTCTTTACCTCTTCCTTCCAAGTCAAAAGTTATCATCTTCCCCCCAGGAAAAAAAAAAAAAAAGATACCCAGAGATTGCTACCCACCAGTGAGCTTTCTCAACCTTATTGAAATGGAAACGCTCAGCTTAAAAAAAAAAAATGAGTCAGACCAAAAGTGCAGGTGTTTAAAATATGTTCACGGTATTACGATTTTTGCTAGTAATTACAACTATGAAAATGGCTGGAAATATATTGTTTCAATTTGTATGGAGAACAATTGCAGAGAGAGAGAGGGCAGCATGAACTGTGCCTGGCATTGGAATGTGTAATTCCTTAACCCTATATGGCAGCACAAGGCTCGCTGGAGCAAATTATGAATACATGTGTTGGGAGAGCTTGAGTAGTAAATTTGGGTTTTGTGCATCCGTAACAATGCAATCTGACATGTGTGATTTATGGAATATTAAGTTAATACAGTATTATGAAATTAGCTTAATGTACTAAAGCTGTAATTTTAAAGTGAAAAACAATGCGACCAGACATAAACAAAATCAACATTAGCATTTTGTGAAAGCCGAAACCGATTCACTCAAAATGTGTCTGTAGAGTCACAGATTTACCTCACCCAGACAGGCCCAAGGCTCAGGGAAGCTGCAGACCCCAGGACAACAGTCTGATCAATTGGCCAAGCTGTTCGCTCCCACCCGGATCTGGAGAACCCAGACCCAGGCACGCACCAGAGAGCCAAACCGCCCCCCATCCCCTGGGGAAGTCACCGCAAATTATCCAGAGGTCTTCAGAACCAGAGGATCCCCAGACCAAGGCCAGAGGGCCTCTTCATACTGCACCACCAGTGAACTTCACCCTGTAATAATACCCTTGAAATAAAATCTGGAGAGAGATGGCTGGAATGCCAGGCATAATCCTGAAAACCTGGGGGCTCAGACCCAGGAATAAATGAGACTCTGAGGCCAAGGAAATCTCGTTGGTTCATAAGAGCAAATCTAGCTGCGAGGTCCTTTGGCTCCTTAGAGGGGCAGCCTACCAGCGCGGCGACTTGTGACAGGACAAGGAACCAGAGACGTTTGGGTTCTGTCAGGCTAAGCCATCCCCAGTCCAGCCCAAGACACCGAAGAGCTGGTGGTGGTGACTGGGGGCGCGTGGTCTCCCCGGGAGGCTTCCTAGCTGAATGGACGGACCGGGGCCAGAGGAAGGTCCCGGCCGTCCTCCACCCTCCCCCATTAATCACCTCTCACCTTCTCGGGGCCGAGGCTCGGCAGGGCCTGAGCAGCGGGAACTGGGATCGAGGATCAGTGACTCTAAGCCAGACGGACGTCTGAAACGCCATGTTCTGAAATGAAGGCGAGACGGAAACCCCTTAGAAAATACCGCCATGGCTTGCTTTGCTTTCGGGTGTGATTACTGACAACTGCGGGAGCATGAAGGAATGTCTGCCACCAGGACATGGCCCTTTGGGCCATCTTGCTCCCCTGACCCAAGCGGGCCACCCATGGGTGAGCAGCAGGGCGGTAACCCAGACTCAAATCTGAGTCCCAAGATTTGCGATTAAATATGGACCTAAACGTCCTCCAGGGTCACAGAGGAACCAACGCGTGCCATTCGGATGAGCGTCAAAGCTATTTGACAAAGGACAGGGTTCCAGGGACCGCACCAGACCCACGTACCACGGGAGGCTGCTTCCTGTTAACTCCGGCGCCGACCGCCCCGGGGGAGGCCGACCCCGCAGCCCACGGAGCCCGCGGT